ATTTATTTTTTAAACAGAAAAGCAGAAACATTTCTTTTATAGGGAGGTCTATATCGAATCAGAGTCGAATACACTGTAAAAGAAAAGTAAATGTGCTTTTGATAGGTTGATAAAAGAATAATCTTTTGACAGATAGCGGTTGATTGTCTTTGAAGAAGTACTCAAATCAATTAGAAAAGAAAATGAAGTTCCTGTATATATTTATACAAAAATTGTCATAAAATGAAATGTTGTGTCACACGGAATACAGGAAGAGTCGCAGAACAGAGGAATAGTAGAACAGCGACCGACCCGAATATATTTTGAAACGTTCCCTTATCATTTCAATGAAAAGTAGAAAAATAGTGCTCGATTTAAAGAGACTTTAAATAAATAGTGTAGTTCAATACCTACAAAATGTGCAAAACCAAATGTACTTGATGTAAATTTTTTTATAGTACTAAATGTAGATGAAAACGTTCTCTTCTTCGTTTGTTGCACTCTCTTGCTTAAATGCTACAATATTGGTTATACTAAAATTAACGAATAAGTGAATAAAGGAAGTATATATATGCCAATGTATGTAAGATGCAGCTAATGCGAACTTGGAGTGAAATTTTTTTTCGAACATATTATACACCATTGGACAGAGCTCTTCGAGCTTATCAAGAATATAAAGCTTTTAATTTTTCGAAACGTTTCTTTTTCATTTTGAAGAATCGAGGAAACTCAAACGACCTCAAAACTCGAAAAAACGATGATATTCAAAAAGTTCACCTTTTCCGCTTAAGTTTTTGGCCGGAACGTTCAAATTATGTTTTGTTATTTAGCGTTGAAAACTGAGTTAAAAAATAATATTAGATCCATTTCAGTGGTAAAACGCTTCTTTCTCTCAACGCGAAATATATAATTATTTCTTTTCAAAAAATACAGCAACAATAAAAGAACATAGTCCTCTATACCAGCTTGTACTTCACGAATCTTAGGGTGATCTTTTAATGGGGGACGGTCTACTATTAAGGATGTCCTTCTATTACGAGAAGTGGTTTAGGTGCTGGAGGTTCTTCTAGAATGACGCATCTACTGAGATACTTAGCTTTTTTATCGGAGTGATGGTTACTCAGATCTGGATATTCACCCCCTTTTTTTGATAAAAAGAAGTCGAAAAATATTTTTTGTGCTATATTCGAGCAATTAAATCTTTATCCAGAAAACTTTATATCTGGTAAAGTATGTTAACTAACCTCTAACTAATAGGCAATCTTGATATAATTCCAGACATCACGTTCAGTGATATGGAAAATTTTATTAAAAGTCACAGTCATGGAAGAAAAATGAGTATAATTCGTGAAAAGAGTTTTAAATTTCACAGTGAACAAGGGTTTATAATGAGAATGAAGATTAGAAAAGAGAAAAACAGTAATAAAGTTACGGAGTATGTTCGATGTCCAAAAGTTTAGTGGTGACCATTGATCTAGTTTTTTCTAATAAATACAAAACAATAGCGGATGTAAATGGCATTTGTAACTGCAAATATGGCTTATGAGGCTACTGTTCTCATTTTTGCGCAATACTTTATCGGCTAGTACATTATAAAACATTACGTTATAATCTTTTACCAGATAAAGATTTTTCAACAACAGCGAATGCATGTACGTGGAGGATACTAAAATGTTTTCAGGGTGCCACAGATAATACCTCCGCAATGAATGTTGTATGGGAAATACACAATGCAACGACAACCGTCGAGACTTCAGCTCCTGAATGATCTATGAAATCGTTTCCAATGAAAAGTTCTATCGATTCTACCCTTCTTCTGCGAACGATCTTGAATCTCCGGTGGAACGTTTTAGACCATTTGACGTTCCGTTTAGTACTATTTGTATCATCTTGCTTAATTTGAATATGAAAAATGTATTGGAAACAGAGCATGGAAAACATCGACGGTATCTCTTCTTGCATGGCATATGGCTGAAGATTTACGTTTTGAAACTGTCATCCTAGCTCCACAAAATTCAGCTTATACACTTTCACTATTCGACACACTGTTTCCACCATTTCTGTATGTGAAACAATGGAAAGATACACCAACACTGGCCATGTTAAACGATGAGACAAAATATACGTATCTCAGCTGTCGAGTGCATTCAAGTCGAAAAACGTAGGCGTCAACAACGAACAAGTACGCAGTGATTTGAAGCTCGCCGAAGTCGGGTAACAGCATCTCAAGTCGGAGAAATAATCAGTCGACAATAAACACCTACTCTAAAGTTTCTGGAACGATTGTTTAACTCCTTTCATCAAAACACATCTAGCACATACGCCAAACCAATTCAACATGGTGTTAGAAAGAGCTAGTCCAGACGCCAAAGTAACGGTAACTCACAAAAATGGCTTAAAATATGGATTGTTAGAAAAATGTCCTTGGTCTGTCAAACATTTAACACCTAAACAAGCGTGTACAAAGGCGTCTCATTTGTGTGAAATGGTGAATCTTTTCACAGTTGAAAAGAATACATCACTATTTTCACCAAATTCAATTACAGCCTTTTCTCTCTAGATGTAAATGACGGGATTTTGTACATTTGTGGCAGGTATCTGTTTAGGCTTTACTCACACTGTAAGAAAGGAAATAGTTAATACACAAGAAGTCTGATGGGATTATCATGTCACTGACTTTTATTATATCATGTGTCTTGAGTCCTGTCTTTTCTGTTTCAACGGAAGGCTGTGTTTCAATATGGTTTTTATGATGTCTTAAGAAATGTGTAACAGCTTTATTTAACTTCTGGATATTTCTTTCGCGGATCCATTCATCGTTTTCTTTTAATTACTCGAACGTATATAAGAGGACGCTATAGTTTGGTGAATATATCGTGCTTCTCACTCATATATCGTGCTTCTCACTCATATATCGTGCTTTTCTCTTCAAAGGTGGTGTATTCGAACCTATGCGTGGAACCTTAAGACAAATTATGTAACCTTAGGCAAGTTACTTATGTCTTAGTGTCTTGGATCACTTGTTTAGCGTAACAGAAAGTTTCTTAGGAGAATCCATTCCAGAAGGTGCTGTAACCGACCTGAATATTTTCGTAAAAGAACATCATCCGACAAAAAGTTTCGAAAAACTTAGTATTATATACTCTGGTTGTGTAAAAAAACTGTCTGTGCTGAAAATGCTTCGAATGTATTGATCGGTTGTTCGAATCTGATATATATTTTGTTTTTCACCTAACTAGGTGACCCGTTTTGCCTCAGAATGGCAGTATATGTACTGTTGAAGATAGTGATCACGATTTTGAAATTATTCTTTCATTTGATACAGTAGAAAAATGGGAAATACTAAAGTTTTTTAACACACTTAGCTTTATACACACTAAGATTGACCATTTAGAAAAAATACACACTTTTTGATGTCAAATGAAACGTTTACGCCATTTTACATACCTAGTAACATACTTTCTTTTTTATAGTGTATGCTTTATTTCTGTTTCTGTTACAAAAATTGAGTATATGTGGTTGAAATGGTTTGCAGGAGGTCCCACTGCTATGCCCACTGACTACCATAAAGTTTTGTATTATTACTTCTGAACGCATCTGATCTCCAAGAATACGGTGACTCCATCAGAAATCTCCCGCATATGTAAAATGTTCTTCAAACTTGACGAAAATTTCAGCGTTTATTCAAGTATCCTTCGTGACTTCTGAGATATATTTCTTTTTCGAAAACGTTAAATGCTTGGACGGTGGACGTGGCACATATCACCGATTAGGGTCAACCTGAAAATCATTGTTCTCTACCAATAAGTGACATAGATGGTATCTAAGTATATATATTTGTGTACTTCAAGTCATGCTCTTTATTGGCAACCAACCGTGGTTAACTGAGCGAAGGAAAGCTTGATAGCAGTTTAGATGGAAAGTTCTAGTGACAGATAAGATTTTTAAATCTTTGTAGTAATCTATAACATAGGACTAGTATTGTTCAGTAAACCCTGGGATTAACATTATCCAGGCAATAGTTATCAAATGTACGCTAAAATCGATGCTATAAAATCGAAAGAAAGAAGACAAGGTTATAATTCGTGTTTACAGCTAATTGCCTCGTGAAATGTCAGAATATTTCGTCTTTTCTGCATTATGTTGCATTTTTTCTACTTTTCATTCTGTCGTTTCTGTTTTTTATCCTTCATCCCCACCATCGTCACTTCATCACGATTCATTCAGCGTGAGAATGAATAATGTGTGTACAAATGCCATCGACGAGAAACGCTGACATTTTCCATTACTGTCATATATATGCGTGTTACATCGACGTCATATGTCTTAATCGCGTTGTTTGACCTAGGACAAGGACATCGAAAAGTAAAGTTTATTAAAATATTTTACGTTTGGTCTGGCTAAACGTAATCTAGCAAAGGAAACAGTCTGTCAGGGCTTATCTATCAATATGCGAAGCACGTTCGCCGAATCGAGTGGTTTCGGTCACAACGTAGTAAAATTCGAACTTCTATATGAATATATGAGACAAAAAACTCGGTTATTATTGATATTGTGACCACTTGACTACATGACTCATGGTTTAAAGTAATATATCAATATCTGGATATAAGTGTTATCGGATTGATAAAGATAGTTTGAGGCGAGGCGGTTTTATTTATATGAAAAGAGAGTGCCCAGTCAACTTTACTCTCAACAAATTAGTAACTCGAAAGAGTCATTTTGTATTGCGAACTGATTTGCTTTTTCCAGATAGGAGATACAGCGGTTTTTTTCAGTCGATTTTATTCATTATACATCTAGGAACAAAAGTGTGGATGGCTTATTTCTTCAAAGTATTATGGTGTTCGGAAAGTTTTCGGAATTTGTATAAATAAATGATATGTTTATTTGTTACTGTTAGATAACATAAGTTATTTTTCGTTTTCTGTATATATTATCTAACAGCACGTTCTTACGATCAGAGAGATAAGTGAATCATTTGTGATTATTGCTTTATTACGTTTACAGAACTCTTTAAAATGAGTGTACAAAATCGTCTAATTCGAGAACTTTTGCTTTACGAGCTCCAACTGGACCATACTGCGGCCGAAGCAATTCGAAACATCTGCGCAGCGAAGGGCGAGGGTGCTGTGAAGAAGAGCACTGCATCTGACTGGTTCAGAAAATTCAAGAACGGCGACACGAATTTCGAAGATCAGCCCCGCTCCGGGCGACCATTCTCGATTGATCCAGAGGCGTTGCGCCAAGCCGTCGAAGCCGATCCAGCCACAAGTACGTGTAAATTGTCGGCCAAGTTCGGAACATCAAACTCCACAATATATGAACATCTTCATCATCTGGGCAAGGTCAGCAGAAGCTGTCGAAATGTACCGCACGAGTTGACACCAGAACAAGCTCAGTATCGCGTTAACGTCTGCAAAGAATTGCTCGCGAATCCTCGGAACGAACGTTTCATCAAACGAATTGTCACCTGCGATGAAAAATAGGTCTATTTCAACAATCCAAACAAACAAAATCAATGGATCAATCGAGGTGAGGCGGCACTTCCGGTCCTGATAAGAGGTCGTTTCGAAAACAAGGTCATGTTGTGTGTTCGGTGGAATTTTGAGGGTGTAATCCGCTCTGAGTTGGTTTCTGATGAATACTCCATTAACGCCAACCTCTATTCTCAACAACTCGAACGCGTGCATGCTGTTCTCAGCGAGCGCTACTAGGACTGGTCAATCGAAAACGGTTACTCCTGCAGCAAGATAACGCCAGACCATACGTTGCGGCTCGGACGCGAGAAAAAGAGAAGAACTGCAGTGGGAGCTTCTCCCTCACCCAGCGTACAGTCCAGACCTTGCGCCATCTGATTAGCGCTTGTTTCGCTCGATAGCTCACTTTCAACGTGGAAGGAGCTTCACCAGTTTTGACGAAGTCGAAAACGGGTGCCGAGAATTTTTCGCCTCCAAGGACCGAGATACCGCAGAGGAATCGAATTGCTTGCAGAACGATGGATTAAGATCGTAGAACATAATGGTTTATACTTTGATGAATAATACCTTTTTGTTGTAATTTTATGAACTGTCAAAATAAAAGTGTGAAAATTCCGAAAACTTTCCGAACACCATAATACAGGGTGGCAAATAATATTATTCAAGGGGGGTAACGCTATAATTCTAAATCAGAGATATGATGAATTTTATACCAAATGAAAGCCCGTGAAAAATGGGATTTAGTGATGCTAAATAGTAAGACTGTGAAGGACTTTCGTGCATTGAATTATCAAAAGTTACGACTTCTTATCGACACAAAATATTATAACATCAGTTCATCGAATCATGTTTGAACTAAATATGTTGCAAAATAATTTATTTTCTCATTACTTAATGAGTACAATCAATACTTAGTATGGCGACCATTCGCGTTCTTTACTGTACGAATTCGAGATGGTTACGAACATAAAAGAGTTTCAAACAGTTCGGTATCTTCCTCCATGTCACTCAAAACATTTTCAATATACATTTTGAGTGTGTCTACAAAATATCGATTATGTCCCGCTTCCGATAACATTTTTTTTTCAACTTCATCTTTGATTATTGATCTAATATGTATCTGCCACATTGGGATCAGGTGAATTACCAGGCGAAATATCATTACCCCAAAACTTGACGTTGCTGTCTCGAATCAAATGTTGAGTCATATTTGCTCGCATACATGGTGCTTTATCATGAACAAATATTACATTATCCGAATCAATTACATTTTCTTCGTCGTTGAGGAATGGAAATACGTGTTGCATTAAAATGATGTCACGAAAATATTGACCAGTTCAAGATTCATCTTTATCTTTAATTACCCAATGCAGCATTTTCGCTGTGTAAGAAGTCGTAACTTTTGATAATTCAATGCACGAAAGTCCTTCAAAGTCTTGCTATTTAGCATCACTAAATCCCATTTTTCACGGGCTTTCATTTGGTATAAAATTCATCATATCTCCGATTTAGAATTATAGCGTTACCCCCATTGAATAATATTATTTACCACCCTGTACTTCTTCGACAAAAGTGGGATTTTCTTACAAGTTCAACGGAAAAATGGAGATGGTTCACTATCCAATACTTTTCGACGTATAACATTGCTTCCGGTAATGGGTAAAGTATTCAAAAGAGTAGCTCATCATAATAACATTAAATTTAGTTAATAACAATCTGACAGAATGGTGGTATCAATGTAATTCAGAAACACAAATGATTATGAACTGAATACTAATATGACTGTTTTTACAAACGATACGAACAGCAGAAAATAATGCCAGTTTTGGAAACAAGTTGATGAACAATCATGATCTATCTAGTCTGTTACTTGCGGCTACAGAGCATCGTTAGCTTATTGGTCGAAAACTGAAAATTTTTTCAAAAATGACTTACCCCATTTTCGCTATAATTACAGAAAAGTGGAACTCCTCAGCAATAAAAATGAATTTCAAAAGAAGCGATGCGTACTTTTGATTTACGTCTGATGGCGATTCGAATGACATGCGAAAGTTGACTTCATCTCTTAACACAGAAAAGTAGATAGGCTTTCAAAATTTGTTCGCATCGTACCTCTCTTTGAACGTGACGTTTCAGTCTGGCCACGTTATGTGCGATAGAGCTCCAAATAACATTTCTAGATTCAGGTTTTGATGCTAATTTCAGCAAAAAAAATTTGGCTCCTGAAAATGTAACAGTAACAAAATTTTTAATATTTTTTGAAAACTGACGATTTTTCGAAATTTGAAATCCCTCCAGTATTTTTCACCCAAAAATCAAGTTTTTTAAGATAAAATCTACATATTCTCCATCAGCTGACCAAGCTCTGTCTAATGATATATAATTAAACTAAAAATAAAATGGTGCTTAAACTTGAATTTGGAGCTCGTTGCTTCTGGCTTTTAAGTATTTCTGTTTTAAATTTCTTGATCACTATCGTTGATTTGTTAATTAAAAGTAAATACAAGTGTTTTTAATGGATATTTTTGAAAAACATATTGATGATTATACACCTCATTAGAATATTTACACTATCTGAGTGCTTTTCGATCATTTTGAACATGAAAGCACAACCGGATGGAAAGTATTTGCAATGTGGAAAGAAAGTAAAGAAGATCTTGCGAACAAGAAAGATCTGATATGACGTGTTAACAGCAGCTATTTCTAACTCATCCTTTTGTTACAATTAAACATTCTTTAGTGGAATTTTCGTCTAGTAACGGCCGCCATACAAAAGGTATAAAAAGATTAAATTGAAGTTGAAGTAAAGTCATAGCTGCTGTTAATACGCCACATTTGATTTTAAAATCATTGCCCTTTACCGATAAGAAACGTCTGAATCGAGCATAATGCCGTACTATGTGAGAAATGTGTGAAAAAACACTTCTCAGCTCCCACTATTATAATAGCGAAGCAAGGCCATTCCCCATGGAGTTAAAAAAAGCAATGGATTCAGGTGAGCTGAAGGCTTTCTGCTTAGACCGCAAATCTTTTACATTGTTGCCATTTTTAATACTAGTGTTTTCCTGCTCCTGTTCAATCACAAAAAGATCGACCAATAGAGACACTCGAACACTTGAGCAACAATGCATAAGTTTGTTGAAGCGTACAAAGCAGGTTTTGGTTTGTGAAAAAACACTTTTTGATGATGAAAATGCCAAAATCGAAAAAATATCGGAAAACAATAATTCAATTGTGTAATAAAGAAATCGAATTGTCTTCTAGACAACGACGTCCAATTGTTTTTGTCTTGTCCAACAAGAACCATTCGTCATTGTAAAAATAATTTTCGATGGAAAACGAAGAATTTCTTTCTTCACTATTTGACGCATTTTTATGTTTGAGAAACTCTGAACAATGACTTTCGATCAAGATTTGTTCCCCACAATCGTCGATTCGTTTATCATTCCAATGAAATCATCGACTGGATTTCAATTTTGAGACAATTCTCGTCAGTTGCTTTTGAATATCGGAATATCGCAAATGTTTGACAGTATGAAAATGATTCGAAACGAAACATTCGATGATCTTGAGAAAAGCAATGAACATTTTTGTTCTTAATGGTCCACATCATATTTCTGTTTGTCGTATTCAGCACAGATTTTCCCCATGGTCGATACTTTCTCGCTGATTTTCATTGATCTTTTGATCGCCTTCAAAGTTTGTCCATCTCGACTATTCTTCTCGAACATCATTCGGCGGATGACTGAATGTGCTCATTTATCTAGAAGGAATGAGTCATCTTCCTGCGAATTCTCACTTTTCACAATGATTAAAGTTGAAACGCAGACAAATTATGACCTGACGTGCTCGTCATTTTAACTTTGACCAGATATGTTGAACGAAGTTCGGTGAATTTTGAACTACGTAAGAGGCAATGCGAGAACAAAGAGAAGATTGAATTAAACAATTTCTGTTCAATAAAACAGCAATAAGAAAGTTGAAGGATGAAACAACTTAACTTCGATCAAATCGAAAATGGGAAAGATTTTTTGAATATTTTATTTTCTAACCGGAATCAATTGAACTTTAATGTCTCTCGCGCATTTGTTCAAATCTTGGTTTGATCGAATGTGTAAACAGACAGTTCTCAAGAGGAGAGTCAATTGTCGACAATCGAGTTTGAATGAAATGTGACGATCGAATAGCGAATGATGGAACAGATTCAAATTCGAAATCAATTGTTGATTTTTCTGTGCTTTACGGTCCACTTTTAACCACCAAGTTTTTTGACTTGCAGTAAATTTTCCGAACAGGTATCAACAGTTCTATCTAAAAGTCGCTCTTAAGAATTTAGAATAGGTTGTTGATTGACGTAATTCGATTTACTTCTCCGCCAAAATAGCTAAATGACTGCAATTCTCCGAAAAAGTCGGAGACTGCAATAGCGAATTGTGAGGATTAGAAGACGAATTAGATGAATAATAACGATATTCCTTCGAGGAAATAATTTGTTGAGATGAAGACATGGACGTATGACGATGTGTCCAGGACGACTGTCGGTTATGACAGATTGTAGATAGGACAAATCTATCAGAAAGACGAAGAGGAAGATTCAACGTCTTGAATCATAGATTAACGAGAGGAAATATTTATAAATCGTTTTCTGATTGTGATGGTTTATATAGATGTCAATTATTGATTGTACAACGTATCTGAACTTTAATGTATTACTATGGCGCCATAGAATTACATTATTCTGATAAGTACGTGCCATCACTTATGATTGAAAAAGATAAATGATGTTTATGAATTATAGAGAAAGTTAGGGTTAGAAAGGGAACGGATAGGGAATGAAGTTTATGTGATTATACGACTGAGAACAGCTCATGCGATAAGGATAGGTCATAGGTCACCAACATGTACATGCGACTGCATCTGAGTATTTGCATCTTGTATTGTGCATATTGGGTGTTGAACTTGAACAATCACCTTCAGTGATGGTGACAAGTCAATGCTTTATTGCCAATTTTATATTATGGGTCGAGACGATTTTGATCGTACAAATTTCTGTTCCGGTGTTGCTGTGGAAGGATATGGTGTTTTTCCCGCTTGATGATAGATACGTAAAGTTTTCTTTAACTGCTCGAAGTGTTCATTGGATTTAGCAAATGAAAATCTGTTGCTCGTGAGGTAATAGGTAGACGATGGAAATGATCAAAGAGTAATTCATAAGGCGAATGTTTAGTTGTCTTATGGACACTCGAATTATAGGCAAAAACAACAGCTTGTATATATTCGTCCCAGTTATTACTCTAAGCATCTTGAGCGGATAGTGACCAACAACGATTCTCAAAAAAGAAAAAGCGGAAACCGCGTGAAAACAGTACTAGTCTTTTCCATAGGAAATCAGCCACCTTCTACAAAACATTTGTGCAACATTTCGAAATTTCTAGGATTTACAGAAGACATTAAGTTGAGTCTTTTTGAAAACTAAACTTGGATCAAAAGCGCAAGCCATCGAAGTCATGGGGTCAGTTGTTTCCCCCTGGCTTTTTCTTGATCTTCGTTGAAAAGAAAAACATCGAGATATTCTTTAGTCTATCAAACAACGATGAAAAACGAAAAGTGTTCCCAACAACAGTTGTTTTGTAGAAGTGATTCCCAAACAAAAACAGTTTGCTCTTGGATTCCTGGACTTCAGGAGCCCATGGGAGTCCAGGAGTCCAGGAGCCCATGGGAGTCCAGGAGTCCAGGAGCCCATGGGAGTCCAGGAGTCCGCTTTTCCCCCCTTGTGTAGGATATGAAGAATCTATTTTGTGCTTGAACACGTATGTGATGCCAGTTAAGAGAACGTTATAGAGACATATAAGACGTTTGTCTTTAGAAAAGCGGTCAGTTTATACATGTCTTATAAAGGTGCGAAACCTCATTGCAAGCAACGAGAAAAACATAGTACAGGAAAATGGAAAAGAGAAAAAACCGCTTAAACTACTAGGACGAAAAACATAACAATGCACGCTTGTTAACAGCTCACGGAAGAAAGACGACGAATGCTATGCATGATCATGCTATACAACGGTATTGTGATATAGGCAACACGAGGACAAGCGAGAGGACTCTTGTGGTCTAATCAACAATAGAAAACCATTTAACGGTACCTCAAGCGAAGTCCAAAACGTATATATACGTGTCCCATAACCAAATGGTGAAGAACATCTAGGGAGCCAGCATATATCTGCCGACATCACAACTCCTGCGTATAGCGTAAATTAGAATCCTCGAAAATTCAATCTCTGAGTAGCTGTGTCTAGGTCATTTAGTTAAAATGTCACGTCGATTGGTTGAATTTCGCATAAACTGCAATCAAAATAATCGCAAGACGGAATGTGTAATCTTAAGTGTCCTCGTCTTTATACACCACAGTGCGTCCTATTAGAACCTGTTTGTATCACTGGAGCGTGTGCAAGTATGTGCACAAGGTGATCTCTTTCTAGTGGCGCTGGTATCAGTTAATTTACTGCCTCTGTTTTTTAGACTAGTGCGACTGTGAAAAGCGTGGTAAGAAACCAAAGACAATCGAAGAACAAACGTGTGAACTTGATCATAAAGACAAACACCATCAACATGAAATGACAAGCGGTGTGTTTAGTTCAGGTGGTACTGAGTCTCTCCGGAAGATATTTTTTCTCTTTCTAGGTGCTCGAACTACGTTCACATCTGTTCAAGGATTTTTCTTGGTTGTATGATCGATCCTGATATTTCTGGTCCCATCATAAGTTAATGATAGACGTGCTAAATATATGTTTTTGGTATAGACGAACTATTATTCTTGTACAACTTTTGTTTGGAAATATTTAAATAAAAATTTTGGTGGTGGACGGAACACGTGTAGTTTTATATGTAGTGGATAAACTAGAAGACACACTCTATCTTTAGGGAGGAATCAAGTTCTTATTTTTGCGAAGTAGCTACGTTAGGCAATGCCTTTTAGTAAAACAAAATAGAAGTACATATTTCCCCGCATCGCAAAAAGTCTGGTCATTGCTGATAAACGTTAGGTGACATGTAATGCGAACCTAGCGATGCACCTAAAACATCAGCTTTTTGCAAATTCTTCCACTCTAAATCAAAAAAGTCACTCAAAAGACTAGTTTAAATCTATGTTTTCTTCTTCTTCTGTTTCTTTTCCATTTTCCAATGTTGTTTCTTTAACCGTTCCATCAGGAAAAGTAAACACTGCACTACCATGTTTTACTCCGTCTTTCCAGTCTCCATCGTACTTATTTCTATTTGCAAAGTTATAAATACCTTTCCCAGATCTGTGCCCTTTATTCCGATTTTCTTCATAACGATCACCTGATTTAAATGTAAATTTCCCGTGTCCTTCCTGTTGATCATTCGTCCAACTTCCTTCATATTTATTTCCAGCTGCAAAATATTTTATACCCTCCCCACAGAACTTACCATCTTTAAATTCACCAACATACTTATCACCACCAGCCCAATAATAGATCCCACGTCCACCACGCATATCATTTTTCCACTGCCCTTCGTACCTATCACCGCTAGCCCGTGTAAATATACCTTGTCCCACTCTTTTATCATCCTCTCAATAAGGCGTGGTTCAGAGATTACGCCATCGGTCAGTGAGGGTGTGTAGACAATGACATCCATGCTTCACTGGCAGAAATTTCCTGATTGAAACAGTCCATTAAAGACATGTTTCCATTTCACACCATTTTTGCCTATCCAGAAAAATTCTGCGATGAATTCTGAGTAAAATACCTTATTACGATTTTTGAAGAATTATTTCTCAAAGAGAGTTTACAGAGCATAAACAATGGACTCCACTGAACAATTTGACTTTACCTTTTTTTGCCTAAACTCAGTCGTCAAATAGCTAGAATTATATATTTTTTAATGATGAGTATGAATCTGATATTATTTTTTTGAAAAAAAGTTGAGCAGGCCATTTTTGTAGGACAAGTTTATGTGAAGTTTAACTCATAGTCAGGTACTTTCAAAAAGAGCAACGAAAAAACTTTTTTGAAAGCGAGCTGGCGTCTCATATTCATTCCTAAGACCACTTTTTTGGAAGAAATCCTATTCTGGACATTTCAGAAAATGAGAAGTGCTACTGCAAATATGCAGGACAAATAACCAATTTTTGAGCTCTTTTTGATCCTTTCTCGTCATATTTGACCATTTTTCTCAGTCAATATATTCCTTCGACTAAAAATAAATATGAATTCGGAATTACCATCGAATGACAGAATTGAATGAAGTGTCTGGAAGGGAAAAAGTTTCGAGTATTTTCGGATGAATTGTTAGGAGATTTGATAAGTTAATAACTTTTTTGCTCAAAAGTCTTCAACATATTCATCATTTGATTCAGAATTCGATCGTGATTCAAAAATGATATTTATTTTCCTGTCGAAGGTGTGTATGGGCAGAAATAAATGGTTCAAGATGAGATCAAAGTACCAGAAAAGCTCAAAAAAATCGAGCTTTTTGTGTTTGACGTTTTACTTCTTGGAGTTATCAGATTCGGATTCCTCACGAAAAACTGATCTTAGGAATGAATTCAAGACGCCAGCTCAAAATCGAAAACTTTTAGTTGCACTTTCACATAGTGTCCTGGGAAGCGTTCGGCTCTGAAGAAACTCACCCTATAAAAATGGTACGTTAGAACTTTTTTCGAAAAAATAATGGCAGATTCTGACATAGCGCTGAAAAATACGTAACCCTAGTTAGATATCGGCTGGAGTTGAAGGGAGTTGGTTGGAATTAGTTCTTTCTTTTATTTTTATTTTTTGTGATTGTCTCATTCGATTGTCTTTATTTTTAGTTTTACCCAATAACCTTCTCTCTGTTTAAAATAGTGCGAGTATAGACTACGTTCTCTTTATTATTTCTAGTACTTTTGTTTCTTTTTCTTTCTTCCCTTCGGATACACATCTGTGTTATTTTCTTCTTCACTCAACTGCTTTATCTATTTGAACTAACGTATATTCCTTGCGTCCCCATTAATAATATTAATAATAATCGAGACTTGTTCCCTCTTTTGATGGACACAAGTAAGTAGATTTCCTTCTTCCAACAAATAGCTTATAACAGATGTTTTGCTAAAACAAGCATTAATAATGACAGTCCTAATGAAAGAATAGAGAGAGGAGAAAAACATATATAAAGATTAGAGTAGATACATATAATTGTTTTTTGTTCTTTGAGTTGTTATAAATCAACAACACAGACTGTAATAGAGAAAATAAAGAGACAAAAATTGTATAATATCATATCATTCTGTAATAGAACAGAAAACAAAAGTTCATGTTGCTATGACACAATAACCATATTTAATATAGAAACTATTGAAAAAACATCGTAGATTAAAAAAGGAAAAAGGATTTTTCATTTTGTAACTGTACCGAACGCTTTTTAGTTTTTCAAAATCAGTAAAAAATTCTCCGAAAAACGCATTACAGTATATGAACCAAAAAGAAATTTTTGATGGGCGAAAAATAAAAAAAACTGACAGTTTTTTACAGCATTTGAAAAATAACTTTCGATGTAGTTACAAAACGCTTTTCTGTTTTTTAATCAACGATTTGTTTTCTAGAGTGTACAGTAAGCTATTGTGCTACTAATAACCTATGTGGTTAGGAATTGTCTGTATGGAATTTTTGAAGAGAGAGAAAGTTGTCAGTTTTATAGAACACCACGATTGGATTGTCACTGCATTCTTTACTAGAGTCGTTTGATTATCTAAAATATCCATTTCCATTCTTTCAGTTTTTCAGACTCGACACACGCAAAATCCTTATGTCCTTATACCTGAACACTTTTTCGTATATTTCATTTAAAAGCCATAAAATTTAGTATAAAGATCTAATAATGCTTGTAATGTATTTAGTTTTAGAAAATGAAGTACACTTTTATAGCATTGCATATTCTGTTGTTTTCCGTTGGTGGAATTGATTCGCAACAACAAAGTTCGAGTGGAACCAATAATACAAATCCTGAAGGTGGTGATGTAGTAAAATCTAGTACAAAATTATTTTCAAATTCAGTTTTATTTAAAACTCGTAAACATATACATGTTTTACCACTTCCTTGTCCATACGAATCACGTGGACATTCATCAACTAACACATGGCTATCACATAAAGTCGATCGTTTATCAGAGATCATGGATAATTTTACAAATATCATTAAAGAAGTAGTAGCAACGAATTTCAATCGCCGTTTTATCGAATATAAAACGTTTCAAAATCTTCGAAGACAACAAAAAGAACTGCTAGATGAAGCACGATTAAATGCAAGTGAATTACGATTCATTCAACAACTAACTGAAAAGTTCGATCAATTTCAAAATTCAACAAATGTCCATGACAAAGAAATTATTAAAAAACTAGATGAAAATGCAAATTCATTGAAAGGTAAGCTCTATGGTCATATATAGGATATTGCAACTAAACCTCTCATTGATCCATTAGTCGACTAACAAAATGGTAGACACTTAAAATTGATAGCACAGTTTTTATGAATATAAGATTTGCGGCGGCGAGTTAGATCAACGTATAGCTATCGTCATATACCGTAGATATGGTGGTCAAATTTCTGACATTGCCTACCCTAGCAGTGTATTGTGGACACCCACTAATACGTATTTCTATAGAGTAGGCACCATTACTTATTTTTTTCGCGGAAAATCCGAGCATAAACTTTTTAAAAACGGTTATTAACTCGTTAGTTCTGTATAATAGGTTCCTGCTGTCAAAGCTCTACTCTGAGGCGGATAATAGCAATCGAACCAAGCATGGACCCTGCGGTGCATTTATAGAGTAAAGCTTTGAACAAAAGTTTGAAAAAAGATAGCTAAATCCAGAAAGCCAAATATATGACAATTGCATAAACTTACCAAACCTAATCATATCTACTCTAAAAAGCCATTTGATGCACATTTGATGCGAAAAAGCCCCGCTCTCCCCTTTTCTGACTATTTTGAAAACAGGGAAACCGATGTTTGATCGGAGTGAAAATTATATCAACGATAGAACATCGAAAAAGAAAATTGATGTATCTCTGCCCAGAATGTTCTGACATGTTCTTCTATGGATTTTCTGGAAAACTCTACTTTTCATCAAGTCACATTACGCCCCTCGAAAACATGATCTGATCGAGCTCAAAATTTTTCTATAGATACTTTAGATCCTATCTCAGGTTCTGAATTTTTTCTTTTCAAAAAATATGCTTTCCTTCACAAGATATTCGAAAGATACTAAAAATTCTGTATAACAAAACAGTTCTTTATTTTAAAAACCTTCTCACGCCGAAAGCTGAAATTGAAAATACTTAAAAGGATTGTAGAACCTGCGCTAGGATCTAAAGTATCTGTGATAAAAATTTGAGTTCGATCAGACCATTTTTTCGAAGGGTCGTAATGTGACTGGATTGAAGGAACTATCGAAAAAATGCACAGTGAGAAAAACACATATTGTACACTGGGTTCAACTTTTTAGGCCATTTGCGGTGATGCTTATATCTCAGCGCGAACTGACTGGAAAACTGTGGAAGACGTCTCACTTTGATTAGCACACTTCCTTCTATCATGCTATTTACAAGAAAAAATTTGAATATATAAGAAAACAGAGAAAAATTTACAAAACTAAAAAGTTGAGATTTTCTAAGCTTTGAAGGAAAAACTTAAAAACATCGTAATGTTTACAAGGCAGGTTGTGGAGAGCTGGGTGTGGTCTCATTTTATAGCGCAGACTTTCTCCTATATTAGATTTTATTCAGCTCAAAACGAAAAGTTTTTTACAAAAAAGAGGGGCACGGGGGTTGAAATACCCTTAACGAGATGTAAAAACCAGTTTGACTGATATAAACGGCCGAAAACATGGTCGTTACCTTAAGATTTGATTCGACCATCTTTACTTCGAGAAGGTGGTATAAGTTTAAACCACAAACTTCCATATCGTTCGAAAATCGGACAAGTTCTTGGAAGTTTTCACAAACAGTTGTTGTGGAAATATGCACGAGATCGGTATCAAATAGGTTTGTACAGCGCATTTTTACTTTTCAGTTCTCAGCTATTACACCGGCGAATCGCGAATATGAAGTTAATTTTGGCGCGTGGTATCAAAATTTTTTAGGACTAGCACAACGAAAACTTCAGATCGAAACAAATAAAAACTGCTTGAAGGAGACTGGATGTTATTTGGGAGCTTGTACGCTATTCACTAGTAGCGGGCGGTCGTGACCAAGTCAAAACCCAGAGCATAGCACGATGACTTGAAAACCCTGCGGAATGATCAAAAGCTGTATATCTCAAATTGTGTTAAGTCGTTTCGTACAAATCGAGTGCTACGAAGACAATGATGTTTTCACAGAAATCGATAACGAGATAATTTCGAGCGTAACTAGTCCTGCGGTGAAATTGAAAGTGAGAGGACCGGCGAAAACTCACGATGCAGATTCCAGAGTGCGGATTTGATTTAAGATCTTACTTTTTAAGCTCAGATAAGAACAATTCAATTTGATGATGATTTGGTAAGCTATTTAATTCCTTACGAGAACTAACTGTTTTACTTTTTCAGCTAGCTTAGATAAATCGATAACTGGATATAAAAGTCGTGTCCAGCAGACACTTTCACTACATACATTCCAGTTTCTTTATCTTAACTTTAATTCATTAATTTTCTTTTACAGTCATTAACACGCTAGTTGCGCATCCATCGCAATGTAGTGTTTATACAACAATTAGTGATTCAACGCGGTTAATATCATCTCGTGGTGGAACAGTTTGTGATCGATTATTTTTCAATACTACGATTGTCACATATGTACGATTTACACCATCCGGTGGTAAACAAATAGCCACATCAGTTCCGAATATGGATCGATGTAATACACACGCTCCAGGTTGGACAAATGCCACATATCCAGCACTTGCTGGTCAAACAGTAAATGCAGTTGTTTGTTACCGATATAAAAATAATACATGTAATTGGTTTAATATGATAACAATAACAAATTGTAACAGCTTTTATGTATTTGGATTAATTGCACCACCAAACTGTAGTTTACGTTATTGCACAGAAAAATAGTGAAAAAACATGACAAATGTGTCCAAAAGACACAAGAAAAAAACAAAAACTTATTCCGACAGCACGTGGTAAATGCTAAATGTCGACGTCGGCTGATACAAAAAAAATTTATTTTCAAAACTGTTAAATACACTTTGTTTTTTAATTTAATTTAATTTTAATTGGAAGTACTCATATGCGTTGTTTCTTTTTCTTTATTTTTTAAATTATTTTAACAAAAGAGTACGTACTATTCCTGCATTTTTATACGATTTTTTTCCAGTACTTCGCTTTGTACATATAGTTATATATATATATATGTTGCAGGCAAACTTGGAATCCAGGCAAATTCCGAATTTGCCTAGGCAAAATTCGAATTCCATCGTTTGACTGAGCAAAATTCGAATTCTAACTTTGACTAGAGTTTCTTGAGGCAAAATTAGAATTCCAAGTTTGACTAAGTCAGGCCAAATTGGAATTAGAACGGAAAAAACAGAGATCATGGCTAACGAAGTCACGAAATTGATGATATATGCTAAAATCATGCTCTTAGTTTCTCCTGTTGGGTAATGAATCATTTTGCTGAACAGGATACTAATCCACTTCACCGCGTAAAGGTGGCATGATTGTCGAAGTAGTAGGATTTTTTTATAGAAGAAAAGTCATATTATCCACAACAAATTCACAAAAAGTTCACTTATCCATAACAGCAGAAAGCAAATCATCATATTTACAATTAATTTGTATTGAAGAACATTTATTTAATCAAAAACTTTTACACTATGTACACTTTAAGACACATAACACACTATTCTCCCATATGGCAACAACCTCCTCGCTTTGAATGACATTTTATTGAACATGATACATTAGCTTTTTTACCTGGACAGTGCTTTGTGGCACATTTTGATTTACAATCACATGTGCTTCCGCTTACTGCCCCACGTACATAAAGTTTGCATGCTTCGATAAACGAAATATCTTTGATTATCTAAAATATCCATTTCCATTCTTTCAGTTTTTCAGACTCGACACACGCAGAATCCTTATGTCCTTATACCTGAACACTTTTTCGTATATTTCATTTAAAAGCCATAAAATTTAGTATAAAGATCTAATAATGCTTGTAATGTATTTAGTTTTAGAAAATGAAGTACACTTTTATAGCATTGCATATTCTGTTGTTTTCCGTTGGTGGAATTGATTCGCAACAACAAAGTTCGAGTGGAACCATTAATACAAATCCTGCAGGTGGTGATGCAGTAAAATCTAGTACAAAATTATTTTCAAATTCCTTCGGCCATCCAACGTTTACTCGTAATTTCATTTGAGCGAAAAGTGCTCTCGTCATGACCTTTAAATGAAAAAAAGAGCAAAAAAATGTGCAAACCTTATCCAAAAAGAATGACTGCACAAAAAAATTTACTCACAAATAAGAATTACAGGCTCTGGAGTAGTCGGTGCTATCCATTTCGGATCATCTCCATCCGTCACTCGATAATAACATTTTTCTCTTGACAAAAAATAGTCGACAATCTGATTGCGATGTTCAATGACGTCGCTTCTCTCATGGCCGACGAAATAAGGTCTGGATTTATTTGCCGAATAAGTTATTCCCCATCTTTCTAAGTCCAAACGACAACTTTGTATCGAACGAATGTAACCTGAATCGCTTTTTGGTAAGTCATGAATTTCACGATACTTTTTATCGATGAAATCGGCCAATTCTTCGACCGTAAAAGACGCAGCTTTCCTCATACATTCTTGAACTGCAAATTCGCGAGCTTCTGCTTCAATATCGGAATAGATGTTCCAAAACGAGTCTCCGCGTTTCCCACCACGTGCGCTGCTCACAAATCTTTCAAATCCATAGTTAATCAGTCTGTCTGTTTGTCTGTGACAAGTCGGTACTCTGTAATCTCCAATTTTAGTCAAAAAGGAATCTACATCCGAATACGAAACGTTGAAATGTCTCAAAGACATATATAATAACACACTCAGGCATTTTGTACTACAGGTTTGCTTACAAAAGTCCATTATTTCATTTATCTTCGTTAAAATTTCCTCCGAGCTGAACTCAATGTCTTTACGTTGTTCTTGATACGGAATAAATTCATCTTCGCTGGAAGACTTGGGTGGTTCTTCAAATAAATATGAACTTGAACGTTTTTGAAAG